ATCAGGCGTAGTAAGCCTTTGGGATTAACAGAAAAGGAAATGGTCTCTTATTTACTTAGGCTTTCTACTGGAAATAAGACATGTGTCCATGGTTCTAAATTCAATATACTTATGACACTTAGTAACCTAGTTGATTCTAGTATTTCTCTAAATGTCAATCAAATCAAAGATAGGCAAGGTCACTTTATTAACTAACGCAGCTCAGTTCATTCATTCACTCTGATTTATTCATATTTACTATGTGCCACTATGTGACAGCAATTATTCTAGGCCTCAAAATTACAGAGAGGCCAGAGGGTATGGTGGTGAAACCTGCAATCCTAGCACTCGTAGACTCAGACAAGTGGATGGCAGCGAGTTTGAGGCCAACCTAGGCTACACAGTCAGTATGAGGAAAGCCTGAACTACAGAGATGCTGTCTCAAAAAACCAAAACCAACCGACCAAACAAACAAACCCATCAACAAGTCGGTCATTAGAGGAGGAAGACAAAATAAACAAGTAGATAAAATAATTCCAAAGAGTGCTAAGAGCTATGAAAAAAACCAGAAACCGAACTAAGTTAAAAAAGCAAAAATTTTTAAGCATTTATAAATGCAAATGTAAATAAACACATCAAAGAGAACTGCATACCAATGAACTTAAAGATAAGGGATTTTGACTTATTTACAAAAAATATTACATTATAAAGTAAGTAATAGAAAATAATTTTACTTTTTAAATAGTAATGCACAAATTTTCCACTGAAAAGCGAACAAAACCTGTCAGAACTCACAGTAACTTATATCTAAAATTACATATGAAAAAACTAAAGACAGAAATGCAAGAAAAGGGGGACTAACTGAAGTATTGATGAAGTTAACAAGTGAGTTAAAAACAAACAAAATACTGCAACTGGCAACTATAACCTACACTGCACCTTACTTTGCCTTTACTTTGGTTTCGTCTATTTTTCCCAGTTTTGGATCCTATTACTACATGATTAATATATAATACCAATGATTCAAGGAAGCTATACTTTTATTTTTTATTTTTATTTTTTGGTATTAGAAACTGAACTCTGGACCTTACACTTGCCAGGTAGGCCTTGTGCCACTGAGCTATATCCCCCGCCAAGCTTTACTTTTAGTTTGATCTTACGTGTTGTTGAGGACTTTCTTAATAACTTGGAGGTTTGCTGTTTTCATCAGGTTTGGCCTACCAATATATTATCTACAGCTTATCGTAGCAAAACACAATAGCCATGACACTTCTGCCGCTGTAACTTTCTAGCTCTTGGTTCCTTCCTCCACTGAAATAACTTTTTATAACATCTCTTAATATGCCAAGGTTTACTAAGAATGAAGTTATCTTTTATAGCAGAACAGATTGAGTTATAGAATATTCTTTTTTTTTTTTGGTTTTTCTCCGGTACCGGGAACCGAACTCACGACCTTGCGCTTGCCAGGCAGGCGCTTTTGCCGCTGAGCTAAATCCCCAGCCCCGAGTTATAGAATATTCTTTATCTCATCCCTTCTATCATTTCTGATCTGATTTGACATGACTATGTCTGAAATACAATAGCACTATAATAGGAGTAAAACTAAATGGATTTCAAATGTTCCCATGTGTTTTGGAAGTAATTTACACAGAAGTAACTGACATGTTGTTGAGTTTTAAAGAAAGTTCCACTAAAAATTTCTTTTGTCACCCAGCTGATATCATTACACATTACTGGAACAACACAATTATAACCCAGAAGCCTCACAACTTTATCTTTTAACTGTTTTTTGAATTCAGCTTTGCTGAATTACTTCAAAAGCTCTATAACTCCAGCTTTCAATCTACTCTTTTTTTCCTAAAGTTTTGATACTCTTTTTCCAAAGTTCAGAATCAAATCTGTAGTATATACACTTTTTAGTACATTATATAACATGATATGGTGGCATGTTTAGTAAGTAGTTTTGAAGAGGTGATGCTTTCAGATACCTAAACTATCTGACATTTCTATTAAGGACAAAGTCAGTTACTGTACTACCATAGTAGCTTTGTGCTTACATTCGTAATTGAAGAAAAATTTAAATTGCAGGCCAGTGGAAACAAAATGTATCCTTTTTCTAAGTTCACAGACTCCTTGTATTTTATGCCTATAGGGGCAGAAGTGGGTCCAGGGGCCTCAGAACTGCAAAGGCTCCCTACTGTCCTCAGGATGAAAATTCTGTCACATGGTTTAAGGTGACTTAATGGTCTGACTCCCAGTCACCACTCACACCCATTTTTGCAGCTCACATTCTGCTGAGTCAAACTCTTCCAGACCTCTGAAAAGATAATACTTTTCTGCGACATTTTTTTTTTTTTTTTGTCCAGCAAATGCACCATCATCCTTCAGGTGACCCTTTCGTATTGTTTCTTCAGGAAACCAAGACTGTGAGGTGCTGCTCTAGCGCACTCCCAAGGCGCCCAGCACTTACACTCAGCACAGTCCTCACACTGCTTTCAACTGTCCTTGGCATGGCAGTAAGCACATAAGCTGTCTGTAATCCCCCCGCCTTGCACACAGCCTGGTACACAGTAGGATTCCTATAATTGTGGAAAGAAATAAGGAAAGAAGGAAGATTCTGACTTATTTGCTGCTCCTCAGTTCCTGATTGACCCTCACAAAGGCAAGCTGCTGATTACAGTAACAACCAGGAAAGCATAGAACGTCATTAATATGAATTCACCATTTGCCTGGAAACTGCACTTAACATGATTATACTAAAAGAAAGACATTTTCACTATAACTATAGGCACATGAGTGATACAAAGTTAAATAACTTTCACCACACTAACTCATAAAATGAATTGAGGTGAGAGGTTATTAATCAAAGTAAAATTCTAGTACCTATCTCAGAAATTCTCCACTTTGTGCACATTCTCCAAATGTACCTATCTCAGAAATTCTCCACTTTGTGCACATTCTTCTTTGTGCAATTCTCCAAATTGTGCACATCCCATGGAGGATAAACAGGCCCCTTTCCTAGGAAATATATCTAAGTTTTCAAGCTATAGCTATTCCAAATACATTGGCATTCAGCTACTGCTGCTGAGAGACATGTCCACGTAGTAGTAAAAGGATAACGACCACTTAACACTAATTGGTGCAACAACTGATCAAGCAAATGTGTCAAAGAACCTGATAAACAGTTGGTAACCAAAACTGGTATCTATACTACAAAGTTACAAGGGCTGAAAGTTACAACACTGCAGGGGAAGGAGAAAAAAAATCTAAAATATAGGAGTGTGAAGTTTTTACCATGAAGTCAGGAAGCTGGAACAAAACAATGAGACAGATGAAGTTAGCTCAGTCTATAAATTGCTAAGGGTGCAGGGAAATGGCCACATCTCTTGCTCTGGGGAAAGTGACTGAGTTCCTTTGGTTGGGAGATACGAGAGTCGCAACAGATACCTCAGACTGTGGATAGGGGCTCTGAGTGACAAAGGTGAAAAATGGAGGGAGGACTGGCTGGGAATGTAGCTCGGCAGTGGAGCACTTGCATATGTGTGGTCAGGGTTCAGTTGCCAGTACACAGAAAGAGGGTACATTTCATTCTAGACACAATAAGGTACTGCTGATTTCTGAAGATGGTACCCTTATGAGGTTAAAACGACAGTGTGGGAAAGATTAACCAAAGGGTCCTAAATAGGATGAATTCAGGGATGTTGAGACTGGAAGCAGAGAAATGATGACGAATCACAAAATGAACAGCCTGACACGATACTAAGAAAAATGCTATGAAACACTAAAAGATCCTTCTGGCATGTAATCAGAAATGGTGGGGATGGGGTCACGTTATTGCACGTAGTATCTATGTACCATTTTAATACAAACAAGTATCATTTGATAATACTTAGTTTTAATTACAAAGCTTGCTTCGCTTTCTGTTGCATTTGACTGTTCCTTGGGTGCCGCACTGGAAAGGCCAAAAGTCATCCAACAAGCTAAAAAAAGCTTCATCTCGAAAAAACTCACATACATTACAGTGTCTCTGCAATGTTTTTATAGTCCTCTTGCAAATTTTCAAATGCTTTACACAGCAGTGTTACGTAGGAAACTTGACTTCTACATTTAACAGAGCTCTTAGGAGAAAGGCTGCTTGCGCAGCACCTGGGGTCCACTGTTACAGAGTAAATCCCGTGATAACATTCCTCAGAACTGATCACTCAACCGAGTACCTATCAAGTGGTTGTCATGGCTGACTCTTCCACGACTGAAGTTACTCGGGCAATTCCACCACGCCAAGCAAAAGCTGCAGTGAAACTCTCGGTTACAAGGGTGGAGGGGTGCCGGGGGGACACGGGACGCACGGCACCTGCCGATCAGGACGTCACTGTACTGACGGCGGCCGGCGCGCGGAACCGGAAATGGCGAACGCAGAGCCGCGAGTGCCGACAGCCACACTCGCCACGGCCGCACTCACCGGGGGCCTGCGGCCGGGGCTTCAGCCGGCGCCGCCCTCTCCCACGGCTCCCCGAGGGAGCCCTCCCCGCCCCGCGGCGCCCGACGAGGCGG